GGGTAGCAGGTAAACTTTCCCGCTCATGGGGTTCCAAGTTGGCATGCCAAGTTGTCAAAAAAGTCTGAGTTGGCGCTGACATGCGGATACTTGACGGAGGTCAACGGTGCACGTGCTACACGTGACGCTCCGGCATTAAATTTTGCTTCATTTCCTCAAACTCGAAAATATTGAGGGTAAAAATTCATGTATTGTAATATGGAGGGTAAAAACCTTAAAAATCGAAAAGTTAAGCGGCAAACGGGTACCTTTTGCCGAAACTTGGGGCTTGTAGTCTAGAAGTCCCTTCAGAAAAGAAATATTTTTCTGTTCTAATAGTTTCTTCTTACTTTCATTTTGCATCTACTTCTAAGAAAAGTATTTTTCTTCAAAATTAGTTCCTCCATTATTGATTTCCCATTATCATTTCAGCTTCTGATATAATTATGTACTCCTCCTAAATTAAATAAATAAATAAATAAAAGCTGTGAAATGGATCAAAGGTAACTAAAATCCTGGTCCCTTGGGATCTGTTACAGGCTCTGCAACTTATCCAGTAGTTTAGCAACATATGCTCTCAAAACCGTGACCTTAGGTAACCCCCCTGATCATGCTCTAGCTTCAGCACCTGTCTTTGAGGCACTGCAGAAGGTTTCCAGTTCCAATACCAACCAACTGGCATACCCCATGGCACAAGAAACACGGTCTGTGGTTCTGGGTTTGCAGGTCACCAGGGTTGAGCCAGAGCAAGCCAAGAGTTCTAGCAATGATTATAACAAAGATCATGTGGAGCTCCCAACAGTTCAAGATACTAGTCTAGGGAAGAAAAAAGAGGGAAGAAGCACAATTACCCCCAAAAAGACTTCAAGCAAAAGCTCCAAAGAAAATGGTTAGCTTAAATGTAACTGTGGAGGACATAAAGTTGAGCAAGAAGAAAAGCAAAAAGAAGAAATCTACAGAGATGGCTTCAATTGAGTATGAAACAGATGAACCAATGCCTTTGAAATCCATTCTAAAGGGTGGTTCTAAATGATAATTAATACACGGATCAAAAGCAACACTTGGGGTTGGGGGGTCAATCCTA